CGCAGTGCTCTGGTGGGGTAGTAAGGTACTATGAGCTCTTTAAGATAAGATGGTGCCTGACCATTAAGAGCTTTGTAGGTAAGAAGAATGATTTTAAATTCTATTCTGGATTTTACTGGAAGCCAATGCAAAGAAGCTAAGACAGGAGAAATGTGATCTCTTTTCCTGGTTCCTGTCAGAACACGTGCTGCAGCATTCTGGATCAGCTGAAGAGTCTTAACAGACTTTTTCGAGCAGCCTGATAATAAGGAATTGCAGTAATCCAGCCTAGAAGTAACAAATGCATGGACTAGTTTTTCTGCATCATTTTTAGATAGGATGTTCCTGATTTTCGCAATATTACGTAGGTGAAAAAAGGCGGTCCTTGAAATTTGCTTAATGTGAGACTTAAACAATATGTCCTGATCAAAGATAACTCCAAGATTCCTCACAGTGGTGCTGGAGGCCAGGGCGATGCCATCAAGGGAAACTATATCTTTAGATAATGCGTGACGGAGTTGCTTAGGCCCCAGAACAATAACTTCAGTTTTATCTGAGTTTAACATTAGAAAATTACAGGTCATCCAGGTTTTAACATCCTTGAAGTTTAGCTAACTGATGAGTTTCATCTGGCTTGATCGATAGATATAACTGAGTATCATCTGCATAACAATGAAAGCTTATGGAATATTTCCTGATAATATTGCCTAAAGGAAGCATATATAAAGTGAAGAGGATTGGTCCAAGGACAGATTCTTGAGGAACTCCATGACTAACTTTGGCATGCATGGAGGACTCATCGTTAACATGTACAAACTGAAATCGATCTGATAAATAGGACTTAAACCAGCTTAGAGCGGTTCCTTTAATGCCAATGAAATGTTCCAGTCTCTGCAATAGGATCTGATGGTCAATGGTATCAAATGCAGCACTAAGATCTAATAAAACCAGTACAGAGACAAGTCCTTTGTCTGATGCAATAAGGAGGTTGTTAGTAATTTTCACCAGTGCTGTCTCTGTGCTATGATGAGCTCTAAATCCTGACTGAAAATCCTCAAATAAACTATTGCTCTGTAGAAAGTCACACAGCTGTTTAGCAACTGCTTTCTCCAGGACCTTAGAGAGAAATGGAAGGTTAGATATAGGTCTATAAGTTGGCTAAAACATCCGGATCAAGTTTGGGCTTTTTCAGAAGAGGTTTAATTACAGCTACGTTAAAGTACTGTGGTACATAGCCTGTTGATAAAGATAGATTGATCATATCTAGTATAGAGGTGCTGACTAAGGGTAAAACATCTTTAAGCAGCCTAGTCGGGATGGGGTCTAAGAGGCAGGTTGATGGTTTAGATGAAGAAATTATTGAAGTTAGTTGGTAAAGATTGAGTGAAGCAAAACAGTCTAAACATATATCTGGTTCTACAGCTGTTTCTAAGGTTCCTGAGTTAAGAGATAAGTCGGTGCCAGTTGAGGGCAGGTCTTGGTGAATTTTGTCTCTAATAGCTAGAATTTTATCATTAAAGAAGCTCATGAAGTCGTAACTACTGAGAGCTATGGGAATACTTGGCTCAATAGAGCTGTGACTCTCTGTCAGCCTGGCTACAGTGCTGAAAAGAAACCTGGGGTTGTTCCTATTTTCCTCTATTAATGACGAGTAGTACGCTACTCTAGCATTACGGAGGGCCTTCCTATAAGTTTTAAGACTATCTTGCCAAATTAAACGAGAATTTTCCACTTTGGTAGAACGCCAATTCCTCTCAAGTTTCCGCGATAGTTGCTTTAATTTGCGAGTTTCAGTATTGTACCATGGAGCTAACCGTCTTTGTTTTAGTTTTTTTTCTTTTTTAGAGGGGCTACAGAGTCCAGTGTCATTCGCAGTGAGCCTGCAGCACTATCAACAAGATGATCGATTTGGGAGGGACTGAAACTAGCAAAGGAGTCCTCCGTTACTTTGTGACTAGATAATGTATTTAGAGCTGACATCTTGTATAGAAATTTTTGCCCAATGGCGTGTAGTTCAGCAATACAAACACAAAAGTTATCAAACAGTGGTCGGACAAAGAGGGATTCTGTGGGAACACCACTGAATGTTCAATTTCAATACCATACACCAAAACAAGGTCGAGGTGTGGTTAAAACAGTGAGTCGGTTCATGAACACTCTGAGAGAAACCAATGCAATCTAACAGATGAACGCAGTACTAAAGCTGTCATTCTCAACGTCCACATGAATATTAAAATCCCCTACAATAATAACTTTGTCCGTTTTAAGGACTAAAGTTGACAAAAACTCTGCAAATTCAGATAAGAATTCAGAATACGGGCCAGGTGCTCGGTACACTATAACGAAGAGAATTGGTTGCAGTGATTTCCAACTTGGGTGCGAAAGACTAAGAACAAGACTTTCAAATGAGTTATAGTTTGGTTTCGGTTTAGAGCTGATTAGTAGGCTAGAGTCGAAGATAGCTGCAACTCCACCTCCTCGGCCTGTGCCTTGAGGAATGTGAGTATTAATATGACTGGGAGGGGTGGATTCATTTAGGCTAACATATTCTCCATCACCCAGCCAGGTTTCAGTAAGACAAAATAAATCAATATCATAATCTGATATTAGTTCATTTACTAGTACACCTTTAGAAGAGAGAGATCTGATGTTTAAGAGTCCACATTTAACTCTCCTATTCGTTTGCACTATTGCTCTTGTGGTTTTAATTTTTATGAGGTTTTTATGCACAGCTCCTCTTCTGTTTACCTTTTTAAATAATTTCAATGGTCGGGGGACAGACACCGTCACTATAGGATTTTCACTAAGTAACTCCTGAAATGGAGGAGCAGAGAAGTGTGTTAGACTGCGACTCTGCCTCCTGGTCTCAACTCTGGGTTCTGGGTTGATCTGCCACCTATGGATGTATGTTTAAAAACTCCAAGTACACACAAATTGATGGGCAAGTATATGATGCAGCTCATGTCTTTTCTAATGCATCAATAAAAAGTATATCATGGGTTTTGGGGTCTTTGGGACCTGAACTTGAACAGACCTGTGGGAAACCAAAAACCCAACATACATAAAGAGAAATCATACATGTCATTTTCCCAACAAGTCCTCTAAGGTAAACAGCAAAATACTTAATTTGGACATTCCCTCTAGAGCGACACATAGAAATATTTTATGATCTGATGCCCCTATCACCCGCGACCCTATACGCAGGATAAGCGGTTGACGATGGATGGATGGATGGATGTCCCTATCAGCAGGACAATTTGTTTGCACTCTCTAAAGTGATTAGAAATCACTGTAGATTTATGTAGGTTGTTCAATGTGACAATGCTATGGTTAAGGTTTGGTTGGGTTTAGGCACAAACAGGACTTGGTAAGGTTCAGGGAAAGATCATGGTTAAGGTTAAAATAACATTTTTTTTTAAGATTAGGGGACCTTTGTTGTCATGGTTAAAATAAAAAACACTTGGTTAATTATATGATCATGGTCATGGTTTAAAACAACATTATTGACTGTTAATCTCCTTTATTAAAGTTAGCATTTTTTTCCTTTGTTGCTCTACAATAAAGTCACCTGACTTCCTCCTTTGCTCTCATCATAATTGCTGCGAAAACTAGAGGGCTTTGTCACTTAAATGTAAACAGATGTCATTATGGGGCACTTACTGAAACAGCCTATGCTTCAAAGTTCATACCCTCCATCTCAGAATCTCAAAATATAAAATCACATTTTTATCCTGTAATGAAGACACACACCACATGCTCAAAGTCTGCTCACGTCCACTCGAGTATTAGACATATTGACACAGACCTGAGACCTACAGTATTACGGTCTACCCAACCCAATTAGACTGAACATAATTTGGACCCAGCCGTCCCAGATCAGGTCTCAGTTACTAGGCACCAAAGGACCCGTGAAAACCCATGAAGAAGAGTATCTGTCCTTTCTTAGTCTTTCAACCTCATACATGTGTTGTCACAAAGTAACCCCTGTTCTGCCCCCCTTCGTCCCCCATGCTCCCCTGATGTAGAGTTAAAGTCATAATCCCTCCTCCCTTCCCTCACCCCTCCATTTCAGTAGGTCCCCTGAGCTTTGCCCGTCCTCATTAGTGGGTATTTTTCCCATGTTTGTTAATTGTGTCCTGCTTTTTGCACCACCTGCCCTTCCCCCCTCTCTTTTCCTCTTCCTCCCCTCTCTCTCTCTCTCTGTCTCCTGCCTCCGCTGCTCATCTGTGCTCTCTAACAGCCACTAATTGTCATCATAAGGATGCGTTCGCTGTCACAACTGGAGAACAGACTGCAGACCGACAGTGTGCAGCCTGGCTCCTCTGGCCCTGGAGGCCTCTGCACTGGTGTCTGGGGGCCCAGAGGACCTTGGCAGGCAGGAAACCTCCCTCTGCAAGTGTAGCTAATGAAGACAGGATGAGAATTTTACCTGGCTTAGGGAGCGGGAGAGATAGTGAACTCAACATAGGCAAACTGGGAATTAACTGTAAATGAAAGGAAGGATAGTTAGATACAGTGGCTGTCTAACACGATTTGACCATGCATATCACAACACAATACTACAGTAACAGAGCATAAACAAATAATAACTCAGACTCCACTTAACAAGTCTCCTCCATTTGTATCTACTATTTTCCTCTCATCATTCTCATGGTTGTCTTGTCTCTGTACATTCATTAAAAAAATCATGCAGCCTCAGGATAAGCTCAAATAAAACATTGCACATTCAAATGCTATGAGTTTCAGAGCATTACAGAGTTCTTAAGATGTCTTTTTTAGTGTCACTGGAACTTTTTATGATTATCAGTAACATCTGAAATGTTTTTAAATCAGACTATATTCAAAAAAAAAAGAAGAATCAGAAAAGCTTTGGCAAATTCAGACACTTTTGACTGCAGTACTGTAATCACAAAAAGCTCTGTGAGACCCTGAAGGGGCTGGTTAGATGACCAAAAAATTAACTGCAAATGAATTAAAGTATTTTAAAGTGTGGGTGAAGTTGAAGTAAAATTGAGATACCCTTGTCTTTAGAGCATGATCTTTATTTAAATTGCTGTGAATGAGTACTCTGCAGACTGGTGTTTGTGTGTCTGTGCATGTTTGAGTGTGTTAGTGTTAGTGTTAGCGTGCAAGTGGGAATTTGTGTTTTGTGGCATGTGTGCCCTCAGCATGGGGCCAAGGCGGACCCGTGCCGGCCAGCTGGAGGCTCAATCTGTTGAGGGGGTCCACTGCTCAGTGGTGGGAGGTCGGCCGGACCCACAACGACGCCCCGACCATTTGCCCCGGCCTCCCCTCTGACCAGGACGTGCAGCTTGGCAGGCCCAGCCAGGGACTGACAGCTCCACACACTCAATCCACAAGACACTGTGGAGGAGGAGGAGGTAAAGGAGGAGGGGGAGAGGGGAGGAGGACGGTTAGAGAGATACAAGAGAGGAGGAGGTAATAGGAGGTGGTGGCAACTTTAGGGAGGGAGTGGGAGACTGCTCACAGCAAGGCAGCAAAAACAGCAGTAGCACAAAGTCCAGGCACACTGCCAACTGCAGAGAGAAGCAGATTAATATAGACAGGAAGGCAGAGAAAAAGTTTAAAGTACAGAAGGTGAAGAGAAAAGGGGAGAGAAGGTGACAAGAGACAAAGAGAGACAAGTCCATTTGGGGTGTTTATTTGAAAGCACATTTTTCTATATTAGGAAGAGATATTTTCTGGTGTCCATGTATTTCTAGTCTTCACTGTTTCTAGCTGCTGTGTATCCAGTTTCTAAGTTCTGAATTTTAAATAACCTTAATATATATCTTGAAGCCAGGCAGAGAACCCTGATGTGGGGTTCTGTATTGTCCTGTCTGAATGATCATTTTGACTGTGGGATAAATTGCTTTTTGTCCTATAAAAGATTGCAGCTTTAGCATTGATTAAATGTAGGAAACGTTCGCTTCATAGTATTGCAGTCACTAATGTTTTACAAACATAAACAGCACTCACTCACTCTGCCTTGTTTTTGTGGCTGATTCTTGGTTCAAACAGGATTGAAATACATTTCAGTCAAAGATACTTTACGGTAGATACGATTTACAAATTATTCCACAATTAGACTTGAAAGGAAAGGCTCTGCTTTTGATGGAGCTCCCTTGGAAATGGAGCAGCAACAAGGATTTTGCTGAGAGGACTAATCCCACCTTAATAAGCATAACTTACATCTTAGTTGAAACATTGAACAAAAGCTGGCAGTTGGATCGTGGGGGGAGCTGCGGCAGAAAATAGTGTTTTGTCAGGCCAGCATGGACTCATATCCATGGCTCATATCAGCATGGCCTGACAAAACACTCAGGCCTTTCATTGTGGCCAGCCTAAGAAACACCTGTGCAATACCCATGCTGTCTGATCAGCATCTTGATATGTCACACCTGTGAGGTGGATGGATTATCTCGGCACAGGAGAAGTGCTCACTAACACAGATTTTTACAGATTTGTGAACAATATTTGAGATTGATATTTGAGAATAGGCCTTTTGTGTACATGGACAAAGTCTTAGATCTTTTAGTTCAGCTCATGATGAATGGGTGCACAAACAAAAGTGTTGCGTTTATAATTTTATTCAGTGTAATTGGATGTTATTACACTGTGCACAAATATTAGGCAAGAAAGTATTTTGACCATATCATAATTTCAATCCATATTTTTCAATTCCAAGCTGTATAAAGTTGAATGCTTATTGGATTTGAGCATATCAGGTGATGTGTATTTGTGTAATGAGCAGGCTGTGGCCTAAGGGCATCAACACCCTATGTATGTCAAGGTATGCATTATTATGAGACAGCTTCCTTTCCTCAGGGAAATGGGACAAAGAGATTTGACTCAAAATCAAAAATTGTAAAATGCCTTCCAGACGGATGCAACACTCTTGAAGTAGCTAAGCTTTTGAGGTGTGACCACTGGACAATTAAACGTTTTGTTGCTAATAGTCTGGGGCGTAAGAAGCGCAGGGTAAGTTAAATCTCTTTTTTTTGGCCCATTTTGCCTGAGGAAAAGAAGCTGCCTAATAATTATGCACACCTTGATATAGGGTATTTATCTCCTTAGGCCAAACCCTCCCTCATCACACAAATACATATCACCTGATATACTCAAATCCAATAAGCATTTAACTTTATACAGATTGGAGTTGGAAAATATGCATAGAAATGATGATGTGGTCAAAATACCCACTTGCTTACTATTTGTGCATGCAGTGTTGTCAGGTGGTAGCCAAACCCACCAAGCTGATAAATACACCAGTGATTGTGACACGTGAAAGAAACAGTTGATGAACAACTAATTCAAGCACAACTTTTGTGCTCTGTCTGAACTAACACCATGCTTCATAGATGAAGGTTTGCATGTGAGACTGCTAACTTTAGCTTTTACTTGTATACCTTGCTGAGTCTGTTTTTTATGAAGATATTGACAATTGTGTAGTAAAGTTTCTTAATGCTCAGACTGCATCTACATTAAGCTATCTGATTTTTCTCAGTTTTCATGTGAAAACAATCTGGTCATGCCTCAGGTCCACATTTCTCCTTTGTCACTGTGTCATGGTCCATGCAAACAACACCTATGCAATGGGAGCTTAAAACCCAGTCAAAGTAGAGCTGTTGTTGTGAGTTGCCAGACATTTGCTACACTTACTTACAATATCTTTTTATTTATTTATTTTTTTACAATATTGACCCTCTGGCTTGCTGGCCACTCAAAATAAGTGATTGAGTGATGAGTTATGAATCATTGTGATAAGCATTCCTGTGAATAACCATTTGCCTCTTATCTTTAAAATGCTGCATCAGTAATCTGCAAGGAGGAGATTTTAAACTTGTAAATCAGATCACAAATTTAGAAGTCACTTCTATCAGTGTGTTGTTCAGGTTTTTGTTTTTGTTTTTGTTGTTTGAAGTCATATTTTACTTATAGCTTCTTTTAATACACACTTTCTCATCAAAAGCCATTTCTTTACCACAATAAATGTATGCAGCCAAACTGTTGTGCACCAAATTACTACTACTAAATAATTAGCTTAAAGGGTCTTTTCCCCGAGCTTTATATACATCATTTTGTTGTGTAGGCATATGTGTGTGTGTGTGTGTGTGTGTTTTGGTCCTTTCTGTGTGTCTTTACCAGACTGGTTCACTGCTCTCTCTGACAGTTTGATGCAGGGCACTGGGGTTACATCAGAGGGAGTGTTTTTAGCGGTCACTAGTCTACAGAGGGGACGCTAGCTGGCACCATCTGGTCATGAGAGCCAACGTTTATCTGGCAGTCTTGGCCAATGTCCATACCTGCTTGTTCTACACACACACACATACACACACGCACACACTTACTGGGGGTCAAGCTACCCTAAACGACAGGCTGAGAGCAGATGTCCGTCAGCCCTCCCAGTCCAGTTAATTAAGCAGCATCACAAACAGCAATGAGACAACTCCACATGCACACACACAAACACGCAGAACACGAAGACTCATGGATAGCCAGAAAAGCAGTACATCGGGGGGGGGGGGGGGTCTGTGTGTGTGATTTATTGCATAAAACATTCTGTCACACACCGGCTGCAACAAAAGATCTGTGAAAGTGAAAGTGAAAGTTAGTGATGATTGTTAAAGTAGGGAGTGAACAGAGGAGTTGGTTGATGAATCCATGACTATTTTGGAGGATGTTGTTTGTGGTGCTGTTAAACTGTATTGCATAATAGAAAGTATTTTTTTGCACCTTTATGGAAGAACGCTCTATTTCAAGACTGTTGTATTATTGTCGCTTTGGATAAAAGCGCCAGCTAAATGACTGATTATTTGTGGGTGGCGATGGTGCAGTAGATAAGACATGCCTTTGGTGTAAGAGACCCCGGTTCAATTTCCATTGTGACATATCTACCAATGTGTCCCTTAGCAAGACACTTAACCCCTAACTGCTTCAGAGGCGTGCTGCCTCTGACATATATTGTAATTGTAAGTTGCTTTGAATAAAAGCGTCAGCTTAATGTAATCAGACTGCATTTGTTTGTTTCAACCTTACAACTAAGTTTATAGCTGGCCTTTAGTCGTTGCCTATTGCCAGAAAATTGCCTGTGTCATCCCAGCTGTACTGTTGCAGCCGTCTTGTCTTGGTATGCTTCCTGTCCTTTTGGAGATTTGCCTGCTTGCTTAATCCCTTTTGGACCGGGTCACCTGTGCTGACCTCTGCTGTGATTGACCAAGTAAACCTTACTTTTACCTCTTCTGTTGCATTCTGTGTTATTGGGTCTCCAGTGGCATCTGCATTGCACGTTCGTGATTAGATATACTTGAATCTAACTGCAGTAAAAAAATTGTTAATTAACAATAAAAGAACTAATTGCATTTGATGTGGGTGTTACCGGGCTGGCAGCTTTGCAGTTGATCGTGGCATCATGTCAGAGCTGGTGAAGGGCCTCAGTGTTTCTCCCTCCATTGTCACCCCAGCAGGCAGTGGGGTGAAGTAAGGGATTGTGCGATCCAATGAAGCGTGCTGTTATCAGAGACTTCAGCCCCGGTCATGAAGCTGACATCACCCCATTGCCTCAGTTTAGAGCTGCATGATGCACAGCAGGTCACTGGGGACGGGAGGGAGAACCCCCAAAATCACTGGAAAGCCTGTGTTGTTAATGATCAAAGTCTTCTTCTGTTTATTAGGCCTGGCTTTTTCTGAAAAGTAATTTATGTGTAGCAAATGAAGAAAATTGAATTGTTTCACGGATTTGAAATCAAGAAAAATGATTTATCATTTTTCTTAATTTCAAATCTGTTACCTTGTGACTATAGTTGTACATTTGACACCTGATACTTGGACTCAAGTCAGACTAAAGTCATAAAAATGAAGATTTAAAAAGTGACTTGGACTTCACTTTTCTGAGTATCAATAAAATACTAAGACAGCAACAGGCAGCCCTTGCATAGCCACAAAGCTTGAATATGTATTATTAGACATGGGCACTTAAAGGACTTGGTCTCAGTTATGTAAAACAAAAACAAAAAAACCCCCACCACTAACAAAAAAAACATTAATATAAAAGGAACATTTTTAAATGTTCGGTTGTTTTGATGCTCTAACACTAACAATGCCACTCACAGATGCCTGAGAGTGTAGGTAATTAAATCATTAACATTTTGCAGAGACTACTGACCAGATAGAAAAGTGCATGTTTCTGCCACCAACAGTGGGGTCCATGGGGGTTTACAAGAAGAAGAATTTACATCTTCCACATTTTAGTCTAATACCAAAGGTCCCTGAAGGTAACTCAAATCTCAGCCCCAGTGTATGCCGCAGAGGGAAAAAATTACACTGTGTTTCTCTGCTGGAGAAAACCAAGAAAGAGACAAACATGCAGAAGAAGCCTAAAGTTTCATTGTCGTGACAATCAAGTTGGTTCCTGAAGTGGAACTCTTGTGCCCTCTTCTGGTAAAACTTGTACTTGTTCTGGCATTGGAAAAACATGTCAGCAATCTTTTGTTGGTTGTCACTGTGCATGGATGACCAAACTAGTTTACCCTCCAATCTAGTTGTAACTCAACTAACGGACTCTATTTTCCATATAATTAAAATTTATTATTAATTTATTGATTTTCCATATGTTAAAATTACAAAATCAAATTGTAAAATGAAACACCACTGAATAACGCTCTGATCATCCCTCCTTGCCAGACAAAGTAGACCCTCTGTGTTGCTTCTCCTCTTTATTCACAACAACACTGTACAAAATGAATCACAGAAAAACACTTAAAACCCTTTAACTTCTGGTTAGCACACTTTACACAGAGGACCACTGAGGTTAAAAAAAATTATTTTTTCTGAGGTACGACATAGAAGGGAAACAACTAGTATGAAATGCTGTATCATTGTCTGGAAGCACATGTAATCAAAAGCTTTGTGACTTGTTGTTCGGGGCCTCCTGCATGATGTCGTTGGTGCCTTGTTTTTCCATTTTTCAACGTGTTGTATGTGACATTCTGCACAAACTTTTCAGTCCTGTCAAGCAAGCCTCTTAGTGATCACAGCCAAACAACTCCATGGATACCCTGTGCTGCTCAGGCAGGGCCCTGGAAGCAACAAACTGCATGGTGCTGTTAAAGTTGTAGAAGTGGTTGCCTACGATCACCTTAAGTCCTTCAGGACCACACAGGGCAGCATCAACCTTCTTGAAGAGAGAAATTGGACGCTGGTTTTTTGCAGCACGAGGGGTGACCTTCAGTTCCACATCATAGATGTGCTGACCTGGAAGACAACAGGCAGGAAGAGATGTGAGTGGGTAGGCTACTGTATCTAGTTTACAATTGTGGAAAGCTTGAGAAGGGTAATATATCAATCCAGAAT